TCTTAGAAGTTTTACTTGGGGGGAAAAAAAACAGAAAAGCAACACCATGACATCCTTATTTTAGGAAAATTGTAACCGAATTCCAGGGGAAAATATATAGCTATTGAGCATGGATTCTTTTTTTTTTCTTTCTTAATTCCTATTGATAGTATGTTGAACTCTAGATATAAAGGTAAAAAATATAAAAAGTAGTTGTGTTAAACTGGGAGAATTAGGGAAGACGTTTCTGATATGATGGTATTTGAACAGAGACCTGAAGGAGGTAAAGGAATAGATAACTGTCAGAAGAGAATTTCAGGAAGAAGGAACTGCAAGTGCGACACCCTCAGGCAGAAGAGTTTTTTGAAAAAGGGAGCCAGTATGACAGGGAAAGTAAACAAGAAAAAGGTGGTCAGAGAAGTCAGAGGTTAGGGAGATGTGGTGGTATAGGGGTTTGGAGATGGGGCAGGGGCAGACGATGTAGGCCAGGTATGCTATTGTAAGGGGCATTGGCTTCCATTGTGAGTGAATTGGAATGACTAATCATCATTTAAAAGTATTTGAACTTATTAGGTTCAATATTTTTAAATGATCAAGATGTGTAGACTCTTCATTATTTTCTTAATTTGCATTGCAAGAAAAGAAATTGCTGAGTAAAAGGGTTTGAATGTTTTAAAATCTTTGAAACATTTTATCAAATTGTTTAAAAGAAATAGTGTACCAGTATTCACTCCTACCAAAATTTTGTCCATGTTGCACATTACCAACATTAAAATGATCGTTATCATTTCTTCTTCTGCTGTTCTGATGGCCTAAAAAAAGTATCAGTTTTTACATAGTAACTACTGAGGATGATCATATCTTTCTTGTTTCAATAAGTATGTAAACAATTTGCCATTGTGTTAATGTTATTAATTCATTTTCATATTTGTGGTAAATATGTTTTTCCCAGTTTAGATTTAGTGGTTTTTATTTTTATTTATAATATTCTTGTATATACACCATTCTTTATAATCTAACATATTTCTTTTTCTTTTTTCTTTTTAAAGAAAGTCCACCATTCTGTGATCAGATTCATACTCTCCCTTTGTGTGTGTTAAAGTGATTTTCTTTTATTCCCCATTATCAATGGAATAACATTCTACTCTGAATGCTAAGTAGCATAGCTTTAGGTTATAAGGTGAAGTGAAGATCAATTTTTTTCCTCCAGCACCATTTATTGGATAATATTTTTATTCCCCAGTGATCTGTGATGGTACCTTTATATTAAATTCTAACAATTTTACTTGATCAAGATTAGAGACTGAGGCCCAGCTTCATCTTTGTGTCTGGATGTATATTTCATAAATGTGTGTGAAGACTTGGAACTTTTTTCCCTGTGGGGTATAACTGATATATTTGAATTTGCCCAGTCATTTGATTTATTTTTATTTTTATTTTTCTTAATTCAATTTTATTTATATTTATTTTTGAGGGGTACATTGTGGTGTTTCAATACATGCATATACTGCACAGTAATTCACTTAGGGTAGATAGCGTAGTTTTGTCTCCATTAGTTCACCCTTAATCTTCCCCTCTACCATAACACCTCCCAGCCTCTGTTAACCCATATTCTACTCTTCTGTTGTTGTTGTTTTTAAACACGCAAAGATTAACATCCTTATAGCAAAAAGAACTCTTAAAATGAAGTAGAAAAATCTAAACAGAAATTTGGTGAAGGACATGAGCAGATAAGTCACAAACCCCAAAGAAATACATGTGATTAATAAGTACATTCTAAGATCTGGCTGGGGATGCGGGTGAGGCTGGCCCAGCCCCTGTCTCAGGATCCCAGGCATAGGCTGGCTCCGTTGCTGACCTGGATGCTTCCTTAGTTATTTCTGATTTTATGCTTTTGGCCCTTTGGGTTTTTCAAGAAGTTGTTTGATATGTGCATTTAATTATGTTACAATAATCATTTCAATTTAATTCTGCATTTAGCTGATTTCATTGCTTATAGCTAATAGCTTTAGCCTTTCTGACTTCTACATCTTTAAAAATCTTAGTTTTAATTAATCCATAAAAAAGTTGGAAATATTGAACATTTTTGAGTAATTTTTTAAAAAACATACAGAGGCGGTATGTATATTTTCTGAACGCTAGCCTATATAAAAATGATACTTGATAATATGACAATTGAATAAGTTAACTAGATATAATATTCTTGAGAGAACAGCCTTATTTCTTCAAAATTTTGTATAAATTGGTCCATAAAGGAGCAGAACTCTCATGAGATACTATTTATTTCTTATGTAGCTTTCCACTTAGTACCTTTTATCACAGTTATTTATGCAGGTCTCATCTCCCCTAACTATATGATAAGCTCTGTGCATTCAGTAAATGGTTCTGAGTAAATGAATGTAATTTGAATTCATAAATTTTACTTTATAATCAGCACTTTTATAGAATATTGCCATATCGCCTTGGAAAATCATTTTATTTATGTTATAGTAAGGGAAGTATTCTAGATGATCTGTGGTTTGTTCCAGTTTAGAAGTTTTACTGCCTGTAATTCTAAGTTTGTGTGTGTGTGTGCATGTGTATATAGTATTTCAAGAAATTGTGCAGCCCATTCAGTTGTTCAGGTCTATTAGATATTTATTCACTTATCTTAATCGTTACATTTGTTATAAATCATTTGAAGAATTATAGATATATAGTCTCATAATCATAGGCGAGACTAGAGGTGTTATATTCAATCTCAAACCTAACCCTTTAAAAGAAGCATGGACCTTAACTAGGAGTAAAGAAGAAAAATTTACTAAAAAAAATTTGCCAGCAAATATGCGTACAACTTTGTTGAAAGCCCATTTCATGTATGCATATTTTTGCTTATTAAATATAATGCTACTTAATTCTCTATTTCCAGGCTTATAAATCAGTATGAATGTAGTTGTTTTTTTTTTAAACATGCCTATTGATTCTTCACTGTGAAGTTTGCTGTTCAAAGACATTTTACACATTAAAATAATCTTTATAATATAAACTTTATCTTATCAAATAATACTTTTGCGTTAGTTTACCTTTAGGCTTAATAGACTAACAAATTATTTTTTCCTACGGACTAGTAAAAAACATTTTTACTAAAGGAGCTTTCCCTGCTTGACTAATTATATTAATTTAGGTTTTAGTGAAGTAAAAATCTGATTATCAGTCACACTCTAATATTTAATTAGTTTGAACATATGTACATCCTTTCCTGGCAACAACTCTTTTGGAGTTATTTTAATTCAAAATTAATTTTAAGTCATTAATGAAATAATAGTATAATTGGAAATATTATGAATTTAACGATAATTTAACAGAAATAAACATTATTTATAATGAAAAAGGGTCATGTAAGCATAATTTGTTGACCATATTTAGCTGAGAGATAAATCAAGCAGATAACAATAAAAATTATTTGGGATTAAACAAAACACATTATGTGTAATATAAAATTATTTTACTGAAAATAGATACTTTATGAAGTATTTTAGCTGAGAGATAAATCAAGCAGATAACAATAAAAATTATTTGGGATTAAACAAAACACACTATGTGTAATATAAAATTATTTTACTGAAAATAGATACTTTATGAAGTACTACTATTGTAAAAGATAATATCCAAGAGAAATAATTATAGTTGGTTGAGGAGATTTCTTTTTAAACCTTTTTTACTTATAAAATCAATATATTATCCATTGGTAGGAAGGACATAGGAACGTTTTTGCTCCAGGATATGAGTACCAGTAAAACTTATTAAGATATTAATGCAAACACAGTATCTTTGGAGATTTTAATTTCTCCTATTTTAGAACCGACTGAAAGATGTAAATGCTTGGGTGGATAATAGGATGTTACAGTACATGAAACACATTCTTTGTACAACAGTAATAAACTAACAATTTTTTCTAAACTGTATATAAGCCACACAAAATGAATTACTTAGCAAATGAGAATTCTGAAAGTTTTTAATAGCTGACATTGCTGTAGTACCATTTCTGTGCATTAGCAGAGATAACAGACTGATTTAGAAATCATCAGTAAGCTATCTACCTCCTAAGTCATATTAGCACCTGAAGGAAATATTAGAGAAATATATCACTTAAGCCTGCCTGAATTTATTTTCTGGCTTCATCACCTACTATGTCACCTTGGGCAAGACCCTTAACTTCACTGTGCTTCCATTTCCTCATTTATAAAATGGGACACTAATACTAATTGCATAAACGTACTTTATTTCTCCAAATGGAGTATAGGTTGATTTATAAAATGACATCATCAGTAAGCTATCTACCTCCTAAGTCATATTAGCACCTGAAGGAAATATTAGAGAAATAAATCACTTAAGCCTGCCTGAATTTATTTTCTGGCTTCATCACCTACTAACTATGTCACCTTGGGCAAGACCCTTAACTTCACTGTGCTTCCATTTCCTCATTTATAAAATGGGACACTAATACTAATTGCATAAACATACTTTATTTCTCCAAATGGAGTATAGGTTGATTTATAAAATGACAGAGAAGTAGAAAAGACTATTTAAAAACACCTTTTATCAGAGAATTATTTCTTTTTGGATATTACCCTCCACCATAATACTTGATTCAGTAAGGTGGCATATTCACTCTCACATCTGGATCTGGGGCCCTAATTCAGTTTGCATTGCCAAGACTTGGAGAACTGGAGGACTCTTGAGTTAGACTCAGTATCTGCTGAGCACACTTTGAGAGATAAGTCATTACTAGAAATGCTAGCCAAAACTGAAATGCTATACATAAGATAAATTTTCACATTTTAGACCTTTTATTTTGAGCAGATTTTTACCAACAAAAGGTTGTACAAGAAAACTTATTTATGATGAATGGATATTATGCGAAATTCCTATGTCAGACTTTACAAACTTTCTCATTGTAATGACTTGTGCATAATAACTCTTTCATTGATTTATTTATCTTTTAAGAGTATGTACATGTATATGTTTATATCCCTCCCCAGAACTGGGTAGATAAAGCTGAAAAACAAGATCTTCTCTCTGATACACTTGACCTATCAGAACTTTTCCACCCAGACACGTTTCTTAATGCTCTTCGCCAAGAAACTGCAAGGTAATTAAAATGAAATACCTTATTTATTTGTCCCTGTAAAAGTACCTTATTTATTTGCTTTATTTGCTTCTGACCACATTGCCTTGATTGTCAAATAAATTTATTGTTGAAGTCCAAATAGTTTTTTCCTCATTCTTTATTTTTAATAACACAGTTAACTTTTAGTTTTAAAAAAGCATTAATTATGATGTATTTTATCAGAATTGAAAAAAGATGAAATTTAACTTATATAATTTTGATCATTTATCTAGACCTGTGCTGTCCAATATGGTAGCCAGAAGTCACATGGATCTGTTTAAATTTAAATTAATTAAAGTTAAATAAGATTAAAAATTCAGTTTCTCAGTCACACTAGCTACATTCAAAGTGCTCAGTATTCACATGTAGCTGGTGGCTACCATTTTGGACTGCGCAAAAACATTTTTATCTTTGCAGAAAATTCTATTTGACAGCTCTGACTAGCCTTCTTGGTGGAAAACAGGACTTAGTGGTTAAGATCAGCCTCTTTTTTATACCACATGTGGATTATCATCTCATATATAGACTATAATTTTTAACAACTTAGAATGTAATAAAAGAGACACTACCAAAATTATACTGAACAAAATTTAGTTGTTTAGTTAATAAACTTTTATTGAATACCTATTATGTATCTGAGTTTGAGGGTCATGGTCAAAACATAGGATATAAAAATAAAAAGTACATCCCTATCCTTAAGGAACTTACAACCTTAAAGAAGAGACTGATATATAAACTGTTAAGTTTAATAAACTTGTTGTGAAGTCTAAGACATGCATAGTAGAGCATATTATCTCAACATTGGAAATATTTCAGTCTTAAATAGGAATATCTCTGTCTTCAATTACTCTTCATATTTTAATCTCTGAGGATTATTTCTTTGTGACATTTGATGCTTTACTTTTACAGGGCAATGGGTCGTTCTGTGGATAGCCTTAAATTTGTAGCCTCATGGAAAGGTCGACTTCAAGAAGCAAAGCTGCAAATTAAGGTACCAGACTAATTTCAGATGTTTATCAGAGTTTAAAACTTATCACCAACCAAGATAAGAGAGTCCTATCTCAAAGTCACCTATCTTTATAGAATAAGATTAGCACAGATAAATTACCTATGTGAAAAATCAAATCTTTCAAGGTCCATCCATGTTGTTGCAAATGGCAGTATTTTATTCGTTTTTATAGCTGAGTAGTATTCCATTGTGTAGATATGCCACATTTTCCGTATCCACTCATCCGATGATGGACATTTGGGCTGATTCCAGCTCTTGGCTATTGTGAAGAGTGCTGCAATGAACATTGGGGTACAGGTATACCTTCGACTTGATGATTTCCATTCCTTTGGATATATTCCCAGCAGTGGGATAGCTGGGTCATATGGCAGATCTATCTGCAACTGTTTGAGGAATCTCCATACCATTTTCCATAGTATTATCTTTTTTTTTTTTAAAAAAGATGACCGGTAAGGGGATCTTAACCGTTGACTTGGTGCTGTCAGCACCACGCTCAGCCAGTGAGCGAACTGGCCATCCCTAAATGGATCCAAACCCAGGGCCTTGGTGTTATCAACACCACACTCTCCCGAGTGAGCCACGGGCCGGCCCAGAAACAGCTTAACTTGTAATGCAAAATACAAAATCTTAGGGATACAGTATTTGAAAATGTCACTTTTGGTAAAAAAAATGACACAAACCATGAAGTTTTTTAGGTTACCTAGTCTAAAATTCAATTTAATAAATATTTACTGCACAATAAAGTGTGTGTGTGTATAATGTAATACATAAAACATTAAACCAAATCTTGTCCTCATGGAGTTTATAGTTTGTGAGTACATTAGTTAAATGTTAAAAAAAAAAAATCAGGCCATCTATGGTGATCTATTTCCTTTGCAGTATAAATTTTCCTAGCTCTCTTTTCTGTTAAATCCATTAGTTTTACAATCATAATCATTCAAATGTTAAGAATAAAACTAATTAAAAAGTATGTTATGGAAACATTCCCCCTACAACTCTATACTTTTTCCATATCACTAGTTTTTCTTCCATTACCACTCCCTTTGGTAATTCCTTTTTCTCATTCCCATACATAGAATTGTCCTCTTAACACATTTTCCACTGCTAATATGACACTGAGTGTCTTATTATGATTATCTCTCTACATCTATATTGGTTTGTCTTATGAGACTATGATGTCATTGAGGACAAAAACTTTGTCTTATCTATCTTCAGATCCAAGTATAGTGCATGTAATTCAATTTTTTAAATAAATTCAATATAAGACTGTAATTCTTTAACATAGTTAATCTTAGCCAGTTTTTCAGAAGTTCCATTTATATAGTTTTACTTCCCTGTTCAACAAATTTGATTTCATATCACTACTACTTTCTAACATACTATATAATTTGTTTCTTGTCTGTCTCACTTTACTGAAATGTAAGTCCCATGAGAGTAGTAATTTTTTTTCTTGTTTTGTTGTATATCACATGCCTCAAACAATTGCTGTTGCATAAGCCTACAATAGGAGAGGCACTCTAGTAGGAATTCTTAGCCGGAGCTACAGTGGTATAGCATGCCAGAAATCTGATCATTAGTAATAAGCTAGATCTTTCTCTTTTGGCTCTATAGAATGCTATCAAATGCTCACTTAAACCTGAAGGAATTAGAAAGGTTCTCTTTCATCCCTTTGCATTATTATTTTAACCTTAGCCTCTAGCCTATGAGGAGAACTACCTTAACTATTATTGGTGATCAAACACTGTTGCCCAACTGTCAGGAGAGGGAGGGAACACACCACATGTATAACCCAGGTAAGATGTATGAACATGTGTAAACCATTTGCCTGGTTGTGTGGTCTCTAGTCTCAAGTAGCTGTGAACCACACACATAGTGTATAGCATCATTATTCAGATATAGGAGTATAAAAAGCAAGGGAAGCCAGTTTTATTCTGTCAACGTGTATTTATATTTCCAGAACTGTGTTGCCCTGTTCTTATAAAATGGGAATAAAGTTATGCATAACCAGAAAATCTCAAGCTCATATATTATGTTCTACAGATGATGGAAAAAGGCTGACAATCATAATTTAATTTGTTTTACATTTTTTTCTTAGTTTTCAATCAAAGAGCCATGTGGCCTTTTAAAGCAATTAATGGAGCTGTCTGAGCCTTGGCTTAGTTATAAATGAATTTAAATATTTATAAAATATTTATTTAAATATTATAAAGATCACTGAGTATATATATATTCATATATACACATATATATTCCTATTATATATATAATTAGGTTTTATTTAGGCAATACTTATTTCTTAATTAGAAATGAAAGTATATTTTGAAATAATGTTCTCCATATCTGGTAAAGGAGAATTCTTTCATTTTTCATTTGGGATTCATTAAAAGATATTTTATTGTTAAAAATTAAAATAGTCACTGTGTGTGTGTGTATATATATATGTGTGTGACCAAATCTTGTCCTCAAGGAGTGTACAGTGATATATATACAGTAACATAAATAAGCTTGGTATGATGACTTGAAAATAATTATGTCTTTTTGTTGGTAAGCTAATATTTCCACATACACTTACAACTTCAATTTAAAATGCCATTTCTATGCATGAGATTTAAGATAATTCAACAGAATTTTTCCTCTTTTTGGTTCATTCATGTGAGCTATAAAAGCACATTTTCTATCCTTCTCACCTGCAGATTCCAGAAAAACTTATTAGAGAAGTCATCTTTGTAAACCCCTCACTCTTGGCACTTGGCAAAATCACTAAGTTAAATGGGGCTTTTAGGCTTCTTTTAATTTTTCAACAGAGATTGTTTTAATAGAACTTCGGATATGAATTGTACTTGAAGTTTACTGTCACTCTAGAATTTGATTCTTTTTTTTTTTTTTTGATCTCTACTACCCTAGACTGAGTTAAGCTAGTGAGGCTGTAGTTCTCCAAATCAATCAATATCTTAAACCGTCTAGACCTACTTAAGAGAACATATTGTATATATTGATTTTCAGATCCTGAACATGACCCTCTAAAATTTCTTCACTACTATTATTGATTTATTATTTCTCAAAAAGCAGTTGTGAAATTTGGTACTCAAAAATGCACCTGTTCAGCCTGCATGTTAAATCTTCTCCAAGGCTGTGAGAGGATTGGCCTAGCAACATTTCAGGTGCTCAATAAACACATGTGGCTAGTGGATACCGTATTGGACAGTAACTCTAGACAGAGAAGTTAATTCCTCTGGTCTTTAAAGTTCTTTCAGTAATTTCTAATATCTTTCTATTATTAAATATTTCAAACAAATACAGAAGGAGAGAGGATAGTAAAATGAATCTGCGTATTCACAGGTTTTAAGATTTATAAACATTTCTTCTTTTTGTCTTTTTTATTGTCTTTGCTAAAGTAAATTCTGGGCATCATTTTATTTTACCCCTCCATGGTTCGGAATAAGTTTCTTAAAAAAAAAAAAAATCATTATTTTCTTAAACACAATTATTATCTCATGTACCAAAATTAACAATAATTCCTTGGAATCATTTAATACTTAGTCCATAACAATATTTACCAGTTTGTCCCAAAAAGAACTCTTTCTAATGGTCTGTTTGAATCAGAGTCAAAACAAAATTTACACATTGCATTTGGTTATAATGTGCCTTATGTCTTTTTACAAGTAGATCAGATTCCTCCTTTTATTTTATACCATTATTTGTTATAGAAACTGGGTCACTTCTCTATAGAATGATCTACATTCTGTATTCATCTGTTTGCTTCATTATGGCATTATTTAACTTTTGTTCCTCTGTTCCTCATTTCTTATAAATGGAAGTTAGTTCCAGAGGCATGATTTGATTCACTTTTTTGTGGGGAGAGGGCAAGAGTGCTTTGTAGGTGGCACTGTGTTTTCCATTTTGCATTATATGATGAGGTACACAATGTGTTGTTTTCCTATTTTCAGTGATTCTAAGATTGGTCATGTGTACTGGTGGTGACAGCCTGATTCCTCATGTAAAGTTTCCCATCAGTCTTCCTTCTAATAGTTTTAGCCATTAATGATCATTGCATGAATAATTAATTACAGGTTACATACTGGTTCTTCTAATTCTGTTATTCCTTCCACATTTATTAGCTGGTATTCTTCTTTCAAGAAGACTCATCAAGTAGGTCTAGGTGGTTATCTAGATACCATGAAATACATTTTGTGTAGAAAATAAAGAATATATGCTGAATTTTTAAACTTGAACTGGGAATATTCAAAATATGGTGTTGATAACACTATTTCTGGCAGTGTTCAATGACATTTCTTCTGTAAGTATCACTGTGAACTTCTTATATATTTAATGTTTTTGTAAATTGCACTTATTATTCTTTTGCATGTGTACTCATTCCTGGTCTTTGGCTTATACATGGAACTTCTTCATGTTGACCTCTGTATCCTTTTTTTTTTGCGGGGGTGAACCTTGATAGTGAAATAACATCATACAGTAAAATGCACAGATCTTCAGAGTACAGCTTTATGAATTTTCAAAACGTGAACATACTAATGAAACCATTATACAGATTAATTTTATTATTTTACAACAGGTTTTTTTTAAAAAAATACCATTTACAATTAAATAGACCCAACATATTTAGTACAAACCTTATTTTCCTTTCATTATCAGAGATCTATTTAAGATATCCTCTTGCATATGTGTCTACCTATTTTCCTTTATTCTCTTAGTATATCATATTACCTTTTGTAATATACTATGATTGTAAACAATTGAGAAATGCTGAAGATGGCCAAGGGAGATCATGATTCATCCCCTCTGCTCCAAATATATAATAATGATAGATAAAATATATATAAAAAAAAAGAAACCACAAACACAGGCTGGCTTCAAATACAAGGTAAATATGTCATTGCATCATGAACAGGACAGAAAATAAGATTATGAGTGAGGCTGAGAATACAGTTCTATTGAGTTCCAAGTCCAGAAGTAGGAAGTAA